CTAGAGTTGGCCATCATCAATAACACATCATTGATATGGGTGTGAATTAATAAGATGTGATCAATGACTGCGTGGGTGACGAGAATACATTTTCCTATGATGTGAGTGACAAACCTATCGCAATGGGATACTGATTCACCAAACTCCGAATCAGGAAATTTCTAATTCGCATTGAAATAAAACACCTTAACCAAGTTCTCATAATACGTTTGATTAAATTTCAAGTAATGCGTCCAGCCTAAATTCTCAAAATTCTTAAGATAAGGAAAATTAATGGATTCTAGGTACTCAAAGTCAATAATGCACCTTGGGATTACCCTTTGTTTACCAAAGTTGTCTCTGAATTCCTGTGCATGCAACGCATCAATGAAGTTGGCAAGGAAAGAACTCCCACAAGCGGAAGAGGTAGAACCGGCTCTAACAGAGCCACCTAAAGCCTAGTTAGCAGTAGATTTCGTTTGTTTTGTCTTTTGACTCATGGTGGGGTCTCAAGAAATGAGAGGGAATTGGGATAAAAGCTTCAGTAAAAATGGATTCGTCTAAGGATTTTGGGATTTAGGGTTTGATGAAATGTTTGAGGTAAAGGGCTGATAAATGCTAAAAGATAAGGTTCAGTTTAAAGGATTTGGGAGACAAACAGTTGGTGAAAATTTCCACCCATTATACATACAAGCTAAACATTCTTATTACTAAGCACACAATGCAGTTTTAATCCGTATCACGCAATACCAAAAGAAAATTCCCATGCATCACTGGACTGTTAAATTGTTGTCCAAGGTCTCCCTAATACTAGTCACGCAAACCATAAGTCACGTTATGATGACCAACATGTCATGCATTGACCTTTTTACTCAGTCACGCAACCTTTGAAAATCAAGCCCAACATGCATGAAAAAAATGTAATGCGATGCCCTCTCAACTACACACACAATGCAATTTGAATCCGTATCACGCAATGCCATATGAAAATTGCCATACATCATGGGACTATCAAATTGCTATCCATGGTCTCCCTAATACCAGTCACGCAAAACATAAGTCATGCTATGACATCCAACATTTCACACATTGCTCTATCAACTACGCATGACCTGAATTAAGAAAGTCACGCAATTCTTGCAAAACCAATGATGCAAATCATTACACATCCAGTCATGCGATGCACTACATCAACTTATGATAATTATTTGACAAGTATATTGTAACAAGTGAATTGCTTGTTAAAAAGGGAAATTTGGATAGAGAAGGATGGGAAAACAACCCACTTTTAATGCTAATCCAAGATTATGTTGATTAGAACCATCCCAAGTTAATCCCATGATATGGTCATTATAATGTATAGAACAAATACAACATAATTAATAGGCCATGTCTAATAATGTGTAGTAAATAAACAAAACCAGTTGGGGAGAAGGTTCTGTAAATGCACAAGATATAATTTATTCAATTTTCTGTATATAAAAATTATTGACACTATATTTTTGGTGTGAAATCAAATGTGAACAAATACCGAACTGTTCTTGTTGCCTTTTTCTTAGTTAAA